TTATCAAAATTGATCCCAGCATTGATTTGAAACAACCCAGATGATAAAAGAAATGGATAAGGTCATCAAAAGTTAACCCCATCTTCACCTAGCAAATCAAAATGTACAAGTGAATTTTACCCAAACTTTAAGAATGCCTTTTATTTGCATTTCCTAGAACCTGGAGAAGGGAAAAGTTCTAAATTATTTTTGTAAAGCTGGCACAACTTTAAAACTAAAGCATGATTTACATAAAATCTGACCAAAACAAAACAAATAACTAGAAACCAACCAACCCATCTACACACATTGCTACAAAAGTACCAAACATGGGCCAAGTGAATTAACACATTGGAAATGTGACAGTTAAGATACAAAGATAGCTCAATGTTTGGAACTCTGTTCCTTACTAATAACTCTAAATATGAAAATCATGGATGCTAAAAACTTTTAATAAAATTCAACATCTACTTTTTATAGATACCCTTTAATAACATAAACACAAATGGATACTTCATGAAAATATTTATATATATGAAATATCTCCAAACGGCCAGGGTCATGCTTAATGATAAAAGACTAGATGCATTTCCATTAAAGTCGGAAATGAAAAGAATATATCATTACTTTTGAAGTTCTCAAAGATAGCCCTGGCTGGTGTGGCTCAGTGGATTGAGTGCCAGCCTGTGAACCATGGGGTTACAGGTTCGATTCCCAATCAGGGCACATGCCTGGGTTGCAGGCCAGGTCTCTGGCTGAGGGCATGTGAGAGGCAACCAATTATATGTCAATGGTATTTCTCTCCCTCTCTTTCAGCCTCTCTTCCCTCCTCTCTAAAAGTAAATAAATAAAATCTTTAAAAAAATGTTTTTAAAGTTCTCAAAAATATTTGTGGATATCATTAATCAAGAGAAAGGAATAAAAGGTCTAGACACTGGAAGACTGGGGAAATTATCTTTATTTCCAGGTACGCAATCATAACACCTGCGCTCACATGTCATACCTTACACTTTCACAATGGTCTGTTCAACTTTATCTTGGTAAAGCTGGGGAAAAAAATAAATAGTAATCCTTCAAGCCAAAACTCCACAGAAAGACAGCTTTAAAGTGGTTGGGGAAAAATATGTCAAAATATCTTTCAAAAAGCAAAACAAAAACAATCTTTCAAAAATGAAGGCGAAAATAAAGATTTTACACCAATAAAAAAATTATACCACCTGCAAACTCCCAGGGAGTTTATAGATGACCCAAAATGGCAAACAGCAGTAGTTCTCAGTGTGAGGTCCCAGGACCAGAAGCATCAGCATGACCGGGGAATTTTATTGCAAATGTAAACTCTTGGGTCCCTCCCTCCCAGACCTACTGAATCCAACTCCAGAGGTGGAGCCCCACAGTCTGCATCTGAAGAAGGCCTTTAAATGATTCTGAGGCAGGCTCAGGATGGAGAGCCACTGGATAAAAGTATTCAGCAAGGTAACTGGGTACAAAACCATGTTGGAAAATCAAGAGCTTTTCTATGTTCAGTCATCTTAGGGGAGGTGGGGAAAGGTCTACTTATAGTGCCAGAAATGACAACAAAAATTTTATATAGCAAACTTAAGATACTCCTATTCTTGGATAGCAAGAATCATACATTTTTAGCCAAATGTCAATTCTGCCTATATAATATATATTTAATGATATCTTGAAGATGCTATCAAGCTTTTTAGAAGTAGTCAAGTGCTCCCAAAGGTGACACAAGAAAATAAGCAGGCAAGCATATGAAGGAAAATTCCAAAAAACAGTAGACATAGGGGAACAGTCCTTACATCTTTTTATCATAAAATTCCAGTAACTAAAATATGAAACAAAAATCTAAGTTTATTCAGAAATTCAGTTAATGAGAAAGTAGCATTTTAAGTCAGTGGGAAAGAGACATACCATTTAATATAAAAGGTACTGGAGTTTACTTTGGGGTAAGATAGAGGTCTATTTTAAAATACATTTTGAATGATTCGAAGATGTAGATGTAAAAGTAGAAAGCACAGAAGTAGAAGAAAACATGGACTTTTTTAATCTCAAAGTGGAGAAAAATTTCAAATCTCAGAATCCTTAAGAGGAAATGCTGGCAAATATGGCATACAATGTAAAATTTATGTAAAGAAAAGTAAAGACTTGAACAAACTGGAAAAAATATTTGCCATACACATCAAATGCTAACTGGCCTCATTCAAAAAAAGCGCTCTTGCAAATCAACTAGAAAATACCCACATTCTAGAAAACTAGATAAAGGATATGATATAGCTGGCTTTTGAGAAATGAAGCTGTCGCACATAAAAGAAATAGAAAATAAAGTTATAGTTTTCATCATCAGGTAAACAAAAACTAAATTTTAATATAGTGTCGGTTAAAATATAGCCAACAAGAACTCTAGTGTGTTCAAACTATAAAGTGAACTCAAAAGTTTAATTTTTCAATATCTAGATAAAACTTCACATAGCTTCTGATCCAACAAGTCAGCTTCCACGGGTTACTCCTCCCGAAAGACATCCTGTCAGAGCACAAAGGACACTCACTCACTGCGGCCAGTGAGCTACCAACAGAACATCCTGCAGGCGGGGACGCCGAATGCCAGGGATGACGGTGCTTCTGCATAATGGGACGCTGGGCAGTCAATGAAAACGAAGAGGGAGACAGTGGGCGAGTATGGAGCCATCTGCACCCAATAAAGAGGGAGGGGCACACCAGAGTGTCAAACACAATCACGCTGAGCGTGCAAGGAATGACCTCTGGAAGGAGGCCTAAGTGGCTTTATCATGAGTGCTTTGCCTCTTGGGAAGGAAATGCTAGGAAGGGCGCAGGAGGAAGACTTCCTTTTCAAGTTTTATCCTTGTATTTTGATTCTTTTTTTCACCAGGTACACATGGTAATTTTTTTCATTAAAAAATGTCGTGGGAAAAAGTAATAGCCACGTTTGTATCAGGAACTGCATTTTTTTACCTCTTCCTTCTAGCACCTTTTGGAGTGCTGATCACTCTTCACCTGCAGGGAGACCGCGGGTCCTTCCAACCTGCACTGTTATTCCTGTTTCATAAAAGAATATTTGTTAAAACGAGCACCGTAGGTTTCCTGTCCCAGGCGGAGCACGGGGCCTCAGGCCAGGGGCCCGACCGTGACTGACACCCGAGGTCTATGTGCTGAGAACCGCAGGCCCGCCGCGGTGGCAGCCTCCCCCAGCTTAGCAGGCACCTGGACTGGGAACCCTCCCTTCCTCCTGTAAGTGTGCAGTCTTTGGGAACATATCACCATTTGTGACCTGCACTCTCATGAGAACAAGTGCAAGGCAGAAAGCACACACGCAGGCAAAATCTAAGCCCTCTGACAGCCACAAATACACAGCAGTAAATGGTACTCAAGGTACAGACACCAATGGACCATTTATTAGTGAGGTATTTAATTGCATTTTATTTAAAAAAATTTTTTTTAATTCTACAACAAACTGAAGATTCAAGACCCAATTCTTCAGATTTATGGTAAGGATATCCAAGGATCCCCAAATACTATCATTGCTGCCCCATCAGTTAGGAAGTCACATAATGTATCCAAGAAGCTATTATAAAAAGGCTTTTTTTTTTTTTTAAGAGCAAGAGAGAGAAAGGAATGGAGGGAGAAAGAGAAACCTCAATGTGAGAAACATTGATCCGTTGCCTCTCGTATGTGCCCCAAATAGGGACCAAACCCACAACTTAGCATGTATCCTGACTGGGAATTGAACTGGTGGCCTTTTGGTTCACAGGACAATGCCCAACCAATGGACCCACACCAGCCAGGGCTAAACGGGCTTTTCAAAAGGAAAATCAATCGTGGCTGAGTCTGTGTGTCACGCTGCTTGCCCTTCACACAACCTCTACGCACTGTTTAAGCGTGCGCTTTTCTTGTGAAGGCTAATTTGCAGGGCATTTCTCCTCAGTCATGGGTACTACTAATTGCAAAGTTTGATAAGCCTCCTGGTAGAAAATGCAGAACCTTCAAAATGCAAACAGCTCCATTTGCTATGGCTTATTATCAGGGCAAACTCTATAATAAAAGGTCAAAGTGCATAGCAAAAGACAAGATGATGAGGTATATGTCTGAGAGAGGAACCCACAGCTCCTTGAAGGAGGGAATTTGCACAGTGTGTTTACCAAGTTCGAGTTCGTTCGGGCCTGGGACAGGGCAGCTCTGCTTGGAAGCCCAGCCCAACTAAGCGGTTGTTAGCATTTCCGGATCCCTGCAGTTTGTTTAAAGTGAGCTCAAACTGTCAAATCACCCGGCTGCCCCTTCGGGAGCAGCACTGGGCAGGGAGGCAATACTGATAGGTACGTGTCCGGAGGCGTGGAACCCAGGCCAGTGCTGCAAAGGTACTCACCGCTAATTTACGCAACAGGCCACACTGGGGCCTCCGAATGTCCCCCACAATAGATCAGTAACAGAAGCACAGCTTTGCTTCTCTGTCTCCTCATTGTCTCATTTGATCATGGCACGGATTCATTTAAAAACAGCTGAGAAGGCAGATGTGAACCCTTACAATAAACACCTAGTGAAGACCAGTGCCACTGTTATCTCCAAAATCTTCAACTATTTCCCCCTATTAATACACAGAAAAACATCAAGATTCCCATCCAAACGCCTCTGTCCTTTAGCAGTCAAAATGGAATGGCAAGGCACTTTAACTGGGAAGGCCTGGCCAGAGGCTAGGAGACCCCCAGCGAGGGGAACCCCCTACATACAAGAGCTCACTTGCCCATCAAATGCTGATTCCAACAGTGGTCTCAAATGTCTCAGTGTCTCTGCATTTCAGTGATACACAATTAACAATGTATAAGAGCTAAGTTGCTAATTTGACACTCAGGTTTCCTGGGAGATATACCCACTAATCATCAGAGGAATTTCACTACTCCGACTGAGTAGGTTCAGGACAACCTGCAGCAGCCGGTGCAGCTCCGTGTTAAAGCCAAGCGTGCACAGGACGGGGAGGTCTGCGGCTGTGCGCTCTTGTCCAGGGTGTCATGCTCCAGGCTCCTCCTCACTCCTGGTCAGGGGCTTTCCGGAGCCCATCGCTGTGGCGAGTCCGCCCACTGATATCCAGCAGGGCCTGGGCCTCGGGGTCCACATCAAGAATGCTCTTGCTGCTGGTGGCCTTGAGAAAAAGGGGCGTGGGTGAGTTCAATGACCAATGGTGTGCAGCATAGAACAGGCAGTGACATTGTGCTGGCTTCAAGCTTATTAGAGTGGGTCAATATCCTACTGTGGCTACAAGGAAATGTGGTGGAGGCTCTGGCTCCCTCACTGAGGCCCCCCTACCCTGCCTGGCATGCCCTCCCAGGGAGGTGCCAAGGTGCAGAAGGCCCAACGATGACTCATCACAGAACCGCAGAACGAAAAGGCACCTGACCCTCCTCATCTTGCAGACCGGGCCGCCCAGCCACCCAAGTTCCCACCTTGGGCACGTCCCACTTCCCAGGGGGTTCCTCCTCCTAATCCCGCCCCCGCCCCGCCGCCTCCCCACCCCACAGACCCGGACAGGACTCTGCTGTGCACCCACTGGCATCTCTCTGGCCTTCTAAAAATGTCCCCTGAAAATGACAACTGATGGAAACAAATTTGGAATGAACTGTATCTCGATGCTTCCATCCAGCAAAAGGGGAAAAGCTGAGAAAGTGGAGAAACGCCCACACACTCACCAGCTGCGTCTGGGAGTCATCTCCAACCGCCCACACCTCCATCTTCTCGAACCGGAAGTCCTCCTGGGCTGACAGCTGAGGGCTGTTGTACGTGGTGCACGTGGGCTTGGCCTTGCTGTGTCCTTTCCCAAAGTCCTCATCGATCCACAGCCCAAAGTAATGATGCTGCCCTCCCATGCCCTGTGAAGAGAAGGCCGTCAGCACCTCCTCAGCCCGAGTGTCAGGCTCCAAGCCCCTATCAGCCTTAGGTACCCGTCTGAGAGGAGGGCGGAAGAGAAGTGAATGTTATTTTCTTTTTTTAACCCTGAACTATATAGATTGGTGCAATTTACATATCCCCCTACAAGTTACTAGAATAATCACTGAGGTGTCTGGACTCCCAACTCACGGCTCTTCCTCACGGGGCTGCACTGGCGGGCAGCACGGGACAGAGAACGCAGGGCACCGGGGCCCAGAGAACTCGGCGACGGAAAGCCTGCAGCCGGGACACAAGTCCCACACAGGCCAGGGCACTGTGCTGAGGGCGTGAGCCCCTTATCCAGTGTGTCAATTGCAAGGAGTGAAAACAGGAAGCAGACCGGGGATAAGCAGAGCTGTTCTGCCACCGCCCACCATGCTGCTGGCATCAAGCCCATGGCGATGAGAACAGAACTGCTGTTCCGCCTCCCCAGTCACTTGTCTGGGTGCCACCTCGTGTCCCTGGTGGCCTGGAACCACTTTTGAGCAAGAGACCAAAGCAAGAAAATGCAGTGGATTCTCAGAGCTGCTTTGCTCCCTCAGACTGATTATTAGCAATTTCTGTGGACCTAGTGGCTGCTGCTCCTGAGGCCAAAGCCCTTGCCTCTGCGGTCACCAAACTGCCCTTTCTGGGAGGTGTCCGGGGGGCCCTCAGGTGGCCCCATGTGAGGCACACCAAGCCTGGAAAGGAGCGCTCTCTGTCCTGCACAGGGTGACCGGCCTTCCTGGCCCCTGGCTCTGCAAGCCCAGGCTACAATTTCCCAAAAGGAGTTTTTTGTTAAGAAGCAGAGAAAAACAAATTGGCTGGAGTGCTGGCCAGAGACACATTTCCCACCCACGCGCAGCTGGCTTGTAGGTGCCGGGCTGGTGTACGCACAGGGGCGCCCGGCCCAGCCCCTCGCCTCAGCCTGCCGCCTCGCCCACCCCGGCCCCTCTGCCTGCCCTTGGCCTTCGCCCCCGTCCTCCTCTTCCTGCCGCTCAGTCCCCAGGCCGGAGCACAGAGCAGACTGCAGGTGTGGTCACCCCAATGGCAGCCCCACACACTGTTTCGTGAGTTGCTGTCGACAGCTCCCCATGGGTCCTGGGGGCCTAGCCCTGGGCACGCCCCCTCCCCCGGCTCACCCCCCAGGAAGGGGAAGGGCAGCAGGGCCCAGTGACAGGTCTGACACTGATGCCATGTCCAGCCATGTAGGCCACAGGCCAACCAGGAAAACTGGTGAAATCCACCATTTGCACACAAAATGTCAAAACACCCCAACAGAGACTCCAACCTTCCTCAACAGAAGTCCTGTCCTAGCTTTGGAACGCGGGCAGAATGAAGGGAGCGCGGCACGCCTGCGTGACCACGTGCACACAGTGCCCCCGGGGCGTCGGGAAGTGTCAGCCTGAGCACATCAGCTCCGATTCCACCGGGATGGACAGCACTAAGACGGGACGTCCCCAGCCCTTCCCCAGGCCTCACCAGTCCATTTGGGATGGTCTGCTGCCCCTGATTCAGGTACATGTAGTGGTCATTGTAGCCCGTGCAAGTGTACACGGCCATGCTGGGGGAGATGGAGAACAGGAAGCATCTGTCGTCCCCTGAAAGTGACCAGAGCACAGATAAGCAGGGTCACTGATCTGAGCCATGCAGAGAGAGGCGGGGATTGCAAACAAGCCACCCCTCAGAAGGCACAGTGGCGAGAACCATCCCATGGGTCTTCAGAGGTGCCCTGAGCTCCCACAGACGCAGGAGCTCGGCCATCACAGCTGCGTGGGCAGCTCCCAGGCCCCACACAAGACAGGCCTTATAGCTGCCCAGGGCCCCAGATGAAGAGCGGAGGGTTCGACAGTGAGAGTGACAACTAAAAATAAAGGACATCTGCTTGCCGGGGCGCTTTTTCGCCCTCGCCAGGGAAGCAGAGATGGAACCCTGCCCGCTGCTTGTCAGAAGAGTGCATCCCAGTCAGGAAAGGCGGGTCCCTTGTAACTTAGGAGCGAGGATGCCGGCGGTCACTCCAGGAGCTGCCTTGGTGTTGGCACAGCCTCCTCAAGTTAGTGCCTAACGCTGGGTAAGGCTGTCCCCTGCCTAGAGGACTGCGCCGTCCAAAAGGGGAAAGAAGACCTGCAGAGCTGCCTCACAGGGAAGGAAGGGGACAGGCAGTGAAAGGCGACCGTCTAGCTCTGTCCACAAGCGTGAGAGATGGTACCAACTGAAGCTGTGGAAACGATCAGCACCCCAACTCCCAAGCTCCCTTCCCTTCTTGATTCATTCATCCCAGAAGCACACTCAGAACTGGGGAGAGGGATGGAGCCCACCCCTTGCCTCCAGGGAGTTCCAAGCTCGGGGGCAGCCAAATGAAGGACGCCCCCACAGACAGGAGAACTTGGCCCGAAGGCCTGCCCTTCACAGTGACAATGAAGGGCACCTGATGTCAAAACAAGACATACAAGCCAACACTGGATCCAGTTCATGGTACTTTGGGGTCGGGCAATTCGTGAGGCAGGAAGGCAGTTCCCGGGAAGTAAATGAGAACACAGATGTGGAAAACAGACACGAAGGGGGATTCGGGCCCTGAGAGGCCTCAAGAAGCAGAGTTGGGCAAGCGGTGGTCAGGCCTCCATCCTGACAGACCCCTGAGGGTGCGGTCAGGGGGCTTCTGGACGCTGTTTCAGGAAGGACGTCCTGAGATGGAGAGGGCTTGGGCGAGGGCCACTCCCCGGAGAAGTCCCCGCCACCCACAGCGACAAGACCTGTGGGGACTAAGCAGGGCGCCTGCCTTGTCCTGAAGGGTTTGTGAGCACTGGGGCGGGGGAAGAAGGGAGGCGAGCCTGGAGCAAGCCACCTGGAGCCAGATGACAGAGGACTTCACTCTAGACAAAGACTCAGGCTTGAGTCCAGGGGCCTGGGTGGCCTCCGCAGACTGAGGACCGTTTTAGAAGCAATGGGCTACCCGGTTCCACCCTGCTGTCCCCAGTGCTGGGCATAGCATTACTTTGCTTTGCAATCCTAAGGCTATCTTTCCGCCAACATATACCCAGTCCTGATGCTAAGCAAGGCGACGGGGCCACAAGCAGAGGCTGCTCCGCTGCAATGGACCCCACTCTAGTCCACCAGGGGGCCGGCCCTCAGCCGGGAGGCCATGGGGGGCAAGAGTCTTTCTAGGACGTGGCGGTAAGGACCCACGGAGTTAGTGTTACCTGCAAAAAAGTCATTCCAACAGTGAGGCTCCCACCTAATGCTCACAATAGCAATACTTGACCGCCCCCCACCCCGTAACACTGAGATACAATTTATAAGCTGCTTTCCCATGGCACCATTTCCCATAATTCTGGGGAACCAAGGCCCCGGGAACTCGGCACCCTGCCCAGGACCAGAGCTGGACTCATGAGGCTCCGTGCTCAGTCCTGTGCTCAGGCCTGTCAACTGCACCACAGACGACGGCAAAAATGAAGTGACCCTGTGTCTGTCACTTCAAGTCTGAAAAAGTAGTAGCGGTTCCCAAGACAAATGGACAAGCATGCTGCCTGATTCTGACCAGACTCTGGTGCAAGGCTGCCCTCTGCTGGAATTCCAGCCCCTTAGAGCAGAACAAACTCAAGTTGGAGAACTTGTTAATTGCAGTTTTTTGCAGTTCTTCAGGAAGATGAATTCTGCTTGTTAATAAAACATTAGACCCAGCAGCGCTAACCTGGAGTTAATATTAAAGCAGTTGGAAGAAGAGAATGTTTTGTCTATAATAACGATTCTCAAGGTTTTTGGGTTTTTTTTCCCCATTTCCTAAAGCGCAGCCTCCAACCACACAAAGAGACAGGGCCACGCGTCACTCCCCCAAGGCCTCAAGACAGCAAGGGGGGGGGGAGGTGCCATCCCTGTGACACTGTGACAGGGAAAGGTGGGCGTGCAGAAGAGGCTCACGGCCGCAGGCCTGCGACTGCGGGCCCAGGAAGGCCTGCTTCGCTCGGCTGGCGTCTGGGGGCTTGGATTTCGGGAGCGCCCCTGCCGCTCCCAAAACGGATCAGAGTGGCCCCTGTGCCTAAACTGTTGGTGCAAACAGAGGGCCTGGTGCTGAACGCCTGCTTTCCCCTGGGAGTCTGGGAGCTGGGGCATTGCAGGCAGAGGGTGCCCACATGACCGGCCCCCAATAAAACCCTGGGTGCTGCGTCCCTCACAAGCTTCTCTGCTGGACAGGACTTCACAAGTGTCATCACAGCTTGTTGCTGGGGGCCTTCAGCTTGTCCTGCGTGACTCCCCTGGGAGGGGACTCTGGGAGCTGGAGCCTGGTTCCCCAAGACTTCACCCCACATGCTGATCTTGCTCTGCATCTTCTTAGGGTAATTAGGTCGTGGCTGTGAGCACAGTTATATGCTGAGTCCATGAGTGCTGCTAGTGAATCACTGAAGTGTGGGTGGTCTTGGGGACCTCTGACACAGTGGGGAAGAACTGGTAGCAGCACCTGGATTGAAGATCTGGAACATTATAAAACCAAAGAGAAAAATAAAATCCTAGAAATACCAGGATCTCCAGGAAGGTGGTGCCCAACCTTTATCGCATGATTCCGTCCACCCATCCTAGGCAAAGGGGCTGCCTACGACTGCTAAACCCTCTCCAGGAATGGCAGCTCTGCACCCGGGCATGGCTCCCCAGCTGACAGACGCTCTGCCTAGCGGAGGAAAGACAGGAACGATTCTAGGGGCGCGCAGCCTGACCGAGGACCTCACGGAGCACACAGCCCTCATGTGGCTGGGAAGGCTTCCTGGAGGAGGTGACCCTGGGCTGAGTCCCAACAAGAAGCTGTCCGTGCAAACAGATTAAAGAGGAAGAAGGCAGCATGTGCCAAGTCCCAACACAAGAAAGGGCACAGCCTGTCTGGAAACCACAGGAAGGTCAGTGGGACTGAGCACGGATGGCAAGGGGACAGGCGTGGGTCGTGAGAGTGGAGATAAAAGGTGCACCGCCCTGAGGGTAGAGGGCAGGGGGTCTGTTAAAGGGTTTCCAGGAGAAGGGCCGGGGTGTGGCGAATGGATTTGAGGGGTGAGACTAAACGCAGAGGGCCAGTGAGAAGGAGCGAGAAGGCGAGAAGCGGCGGGAGGGACGCAGGCACAATGGATGGGAGCTGATGGCCATCTGGTCCGGAAGCGCCGTCTCTGTCCCAGAGGCCTCTCTCCTCTGTCTCCTGAATCTCAGGTCCCTGGATCTACCCTTCCGCTCACCCAGCCTGGGAGGGTATTCACCCCGCCCCCTTCTGGGAGGGACCCTGCCCAGAATTCACTGCGCCCCTGCGAGTGAGGGCAGGAAGGTATCTGGTCTCTCAGAGCCACTAGGAAAAGCCCTCCACTTCACAGCCGTGGGCCCTGAGGAGCCCTACTAAGAACACAGACTCGGGCAGCCGAGCCACGCACCATGGGACACGCACTGACAGCAAACCCTAGAAAGGCAGCTTCACCCCTGAGTCTGCCCAGCAGATGAGCGTTTTTAACAATGGTCCTTTAAAAATGTGTATCAGAGCGTTTTCCCTGAAGAAGGGGTAAAATTCACTTAAAGCCATTCATGCGCTGCACTGGAGATCCCACAAAAAAAACTCCCCAACTCCAGCAAAACCACAAAGCCAGAAACCATGGGAGAAGCAGCGAAGCAGACACACTGGGGTCCTAGGAAAGAAAGATGTCCCAGGAGAGAAAACATCCCATCTGAAAGAATCCCTCGTGAGGCACCCACGGCCTGGCCACGCCCACAGGTGGGACCTGGCACCATTTACTAACCCTAATATCTGAGGTGAGGATACCTGTCCTGCTTATCTGACCCCATTGTTAGAATTTAAAAAAAAAAAATCTGTTAAGCGTTTACCCACCCTAAAGCAGCATCATGTTTCACGTTCCTCCCAAACACATCAGACAAACCCTTGGAAGACACAGTGAAAGAAATGCTCACATTCTTTTTAAGGCTCACATCCCCTGTCGGTGCCCAGAGGTCTCCACGCCATAGCTGTCTGACCAGAACTCCTAACAAGCGCCGTGCTACCACTGGGTTTTGGTGGCTGAGTGTTACCTTGAAACTGAGGCTTGATTTCCCAGGAGCAGGAGGCAAAGCCACCGAACACATGGCCATCGCTGTCCTCAAGGAACACCACACAGGGCCCTCGGCGTGGGATGCGGCCGCAGAGCTGGGAGAAGCTGTGCCCGTGGAGCTCGGACGAGAAGAGGAGGTGCCAGCGGTGCTGCTGCTCCCGGGGCACGTGGGAGTTGACATAGATCACCGACAGGACGTCCAGGACACTCTCAAACTCCTGCTCCTGGGGAACTTCACGCCGGGGCACCAGAGTGGCTAGATCGAGCGACAAGTGCAGGAGAAAGCCTCTGTGGATGACCACACTCAGGAACGTGGCCACCAGGTGGGCCCTGAACACCCAGTCCTCGATCATAGCTTGGTCACAGTCACAGTCCAGCTGCTGAGGCCCCAGCAGCTTCTTGCCGTCTAAGGGAAGGGAAACAGCATTAGCGGGCGATTACATTGCCTTATACCTACTCACCTAAACCTGCGCTGTCCATGCATGGCTTCTGAGCACTCAACACGTGGCGCGTCTGACCGAACTTCAAAAACTTGGTATGGAAAAAAGAGTGTAAAATATCTCAATTGTTTTTTGATTGGCTGATTGCCAATGTTAAATTGTATTTTGGATATACTATTAAAGCCAACGTCACTTGTTTCTTTTTATTATTTTAATACAGCTACTAGAATATTTAAAATTTCACGTATGTTTTGCTTTGGCACTTGAATTAGATCTGTTGGTCAGCGCGAATCCAACGTCAGCACTCTTACATTTTCTTCCCCTCTGAGCTGCGTTTCAGAGGCCCGGGAGAGACAGCCACACCCTCCCCCCACCCCCGGCCCAGTCCGGCCCTCTCCACTACTGTTTCCGAGAACACTGCACCAAAGCCACTTGTCGGGGCTCGCATCATAGCAAAGTCATTTGGAAAGGATTTAGAAGTGCGTTGTTCTCGGCCAAGTCAAGGTAGTGATTGGTAACTTAATCAGCACCTGTCTAGTTTATCAGGAGGAACAGGTCTCATTAACTGCAAATTGTGCTCAGCTGTTTCAAAGCAGCATCTATAAAATCCTGTTTTCTCTCGCTTTCCTACTAAGAATGGACGTCATACACTGGTGATACCAAAAGACAAACTACTGGCACTTGATATACATTGTTATTATTCTTTCCAAGCTCCAAATGCCTCACTTAAATGAATTTTTGAAATATAACCTATTTTCAAACTGCATTTAAAAATACTTTATAATAAAAACAGTAATACTTTCATAAAACAAATCTACTTTGCACAGAGATGCCCCACAAGGTATTTTTAAATCCCAAGTAAATTTAAACGTACGCTGTTTCTCACTCAACAATAACAGAATCCACATTTCTCAAGGGTACATGAAACAATCTCCAGAACAGAATGTTAGATCATAAACTATGACTCAATAACTTTAAAATGATTGAAATCATGCAACATATGTTCTCCGACCACAAAATAATAAAGTTATAAATCAGTAACAGAAGGCAATTTGGAAAATACACAAACATGTAGAAATTAAATAACATACCCCTAAATGACCAACAGGCCAAAGCAGAAATCATAAGGTAGTTGGAAAACACTGGGAATGAATGAAAACAGAAGCACAACATACCGGAACTTAACAGAAGCAATGGAAACAGTGTTTAGAGGGAAATTTATAGTCATAAAAGCCTCTGCTGAAAAAGAAGAAATCTCAAATCAGCAACCTCACCTTCTAGATTAAAGATTAAAAAACTAGAAAGATGACCAAACTAAACCTAAAGGAAGCCAAAGGAAGGCAATAGAAGACTTGGATGAAAATAAATGAAATTGAGACTAAACGAACAGAGAAAATCCATAAAACCAAAAAGTGGCTCTTTTAATATCAACAAAATACAGACAAACCGTTAGCTGGACTGACCAATAAAAAAAGAGGGGGCTCAGATGACTAAAATCAGCAGTGAATGTGGGGACATCACCGCTGACCTTGCAGAATGAGGGTTATAAAGAAGCGCTATGAGCAGTCATACGCCAACCAAACTAGACCATCCGAATAGTCTCCCCAAGGAGGAAGACTCAGGCTTTTAGATTTCAGAACTTGGCTGCAAGGCTCCAGCTTTGGGACAGTGTGGTACCACTCTATGCCGCCACCAAGGGCTCAGTGAGAGTCACTTGCCTGCAAGCTTCATCTCGGAGAACAGCTGAGCAGCCAGGACCTGCACCCTGGGCGGGGGGCCTGGGGCTTTCTTCTGAATCCAGCCCCTCAGCTCCTGTCTGTGGTTTAGCACATGCACCACAGAGCCCACGAGATCCTCTGTAAACTTGAAGATTACAATTTTACCATTAATAACATTGCTGCCATGACCGATGACCTACGTCTTATCAACAAGGGGAAGAGCGTTTTATCACTTGAATGCCAACTACAATGGCCCTATGTGGGCAAGGATAATGTAACTCAGGTAGTTATTCACTTTTCTAATGATACCCGCGGCTGGTCCGGTTCTGCCAAGGCCTTTGTCCAGGAGTTCTGACCTCATCCAGTTACGTGGTCTAGGGTTCCCCAGAGGTGGAGAGCGTGTCCTGCTTCCGCCCCGAGTGCCCCACCTAAGGACACCAAGACTACTTGGGATGGCTACAGTGGCCTTTCTACCTTTTGGACTTCTTTTGCTTTCACAGGACCACTTGTGGCAGAAATCATTTTCAGGATCATGAGACTCTTCTCCTTGGAGTTCCCCTTCAGCAGGTGGGACATCGACACCGTGAACTGCTCCTGGGAGACACCCTCGCTGGGCCCCTTAGCCTGGCCCGTCACATCAAGCCTCCGCATGCCATCATACAGTCTGGTGACCATCTTTGGGGGAAGAGCTTCCCCAATGTGGCTCTGTTAAGGACAAGCAGGAGAAAAGGTTAGACAGGGTACAAGTTAAACATGGTAACGAGGGGACCAAGACCAACACTCGCAGGCTGGGAAGCCTCTACCAGCATGCTACCTGACAAAAGCCTCATGGGTACCATCTCTCCCCCACCTCAGGCATCGCATCCCCCGAGGGCCCCCATACTTAACAGGACCTGGCTCGTGGCTCATATTGGCCATTGGGTTCTTCCACAATCTGTTCCCATCTCTCCAAACTTTCCAGTCTCCCCAGGCTGGCCATGTCATTGCTGCCCCTGGCCAGCATCTGCTCTTCACTCTGCTTAGAACATCTCCGCCATCTATACTGAGGGCTACCATTTGCATGTCTGAATTTATCAACAGACGGGGCATAGGTCTACTTATAGCTTATTTGGTCTCCTTCATATTAGAGACTTCCAAATATATTAGCTAGCTTTCATTTCTTATCTAAGTTCTTTGTGCTCGATGTGCATTTTAATTAATTTTTATTTAAATTTAAAATCTAGTTCTTAATGTCTTACCAATAACATCCTATAAATATCGCTTTCCTTTTGACCAATATCAGATCAGATTTGGTCCAGAGATTGAAAATAAATGCTGAGAGAAAGCAAATCATGGACTTCCATCATAGCAGGGTCTGAAAACTGGATTTTCCGTTTGTAACAACATCAATATTCTGAGATTTTGTAGAGCTCGTCCCCACCCTGCTTACTCAGGAAGAGTATAGCTAGTTCTATCAGTGTTTTCAAAATTCTACCAGAAAATCAATCTTGAATTCCTTCCCAAAGGAAACAGTCACCAAAGCTTTCTGATCAACTTTAACCATATTTATCTTGATAAACACTTACAAACGTTGCCACCTACTCTGCAGTCAAGCCCTTAATTGCTCTGTCTAGTTCTGTCTGCTCCAGCATGCGGAGGGACCAGGCAGACGGGGGTGGTTTTGGTCTAGTGGAGATATTCGTGCACATGCCTGTGCACACACATATATACCACACAGATATGACCCGCATGACCTCCCTGGCCAGTTTCCTCATCTGTAAAGGGAGTATGTTAGGGGATCCCCAATGCCCATTGCTCCCATTCTGCACGTCCTAGAAGAGGAGGCTGCTAAAAAGCCTTCACACATTGCCTTCCCTCCCACGGCCCGGGAAGGTGGGCTGATGTTGTCCGGTTGCCAGTGTCTCGCCTCAGTCTGAGCACTCAAGACAGGCAGTTAAAAGTCCCATGGAACAGGACCAAAAGATGGGGAAACGAGGAGTTGTAACTCCTTGTCAGGTGAACCTTGACTTTGACACAGTATTATTTTGCTGGGAGCACCGTAAGATTCCTAGGACATCACACACTTATGAATCCTAAAGACAATTGGAACACTTGAAGCTTTGTGGTTACTGGCCCTACGAATACCAGTCTGTCACCCGGAGGGATGTCAGGAGACAATGGTCAAGGGATGGGAAGCAGGGCTGGCCCCTTTGTCCAATCTCAGATTAGAAATGTGACCTGAAGGCTGGGCAGAGTAGCTGTGACTGAGACCACAGTAGCCCACAAACATGAAAATATGTACCATCTGACCCTTTACAGAAAACCAACTTTTTAAAGTCTAGTCTTACAAAAATGGAGAGCTTGTTTTGGCCCACGGGGCTAGAGTTTATAGGTTCCTGCTCTGGACTAAACATGAACTGATGATGACTATACTCTTGCCTTTAGAGCCTTCAGAGAGAAGGATCTGGGCGAGGTATTGGAGCCACTTTTCTCCGATGACAGGGCGTCAAACAGTCTGCCCATCTCAGCCTGCTCCTCGGGAAGGAACTGCGAACTAACGTTCAGCCCCGAGCGACTTCTGCTGTTCCCCATCCTTCCTTCTATCTGCCGGGGCTCGCTGCAGAAGGCAAAGATACCGAGTTAGAGAGGAAAATCAAAATGTCATACTCATGGGAAATAAACATTCATAATTATATGATCCAGTTAATAAATATTGACTTAGCTGCAAAAAGTGGTTAAAACACATCAGAGCTATGTGATGTTGTTTCAATGTGGTGGGACTTAATAGCCAACATAAATAAGTATGAAAACCCAGTCCTGATTTCCATAATCTCCAAAGACATGCTCATAATTGTCAAATAGTTTAGATTTCTCTATTTGAAGACATAGTTCCCAAGCTAGTATAACTAAAAGGTAGGAAAAAAAAATCAGCATTTTAATCTAAATATTCATTTTTAAAAAAAAACATGAGTTGAAAATAATCTGTAGTGTGGATGATCACGTGTATGTGAATAAATTCAACACCTTTGAAAACATCATGGACGAAGGAACCACGCCATCTGGCGAACATTCCTTTGTGACCGTGCCCTTGCCCCCACTAGCTGTGTAGCCATGGCCAAGCTACAGAAACTCGGAGCCTCAATTTCCGCATTTCTAAAATGGCAATAATCACAGCCCTACCTCAGAGATCACTGTAATAATTTAACAAGTTGAGTTATCCAGCCCCTGAGCTCAGGAATGTTTGTGGAGACTAGCACCCAAAGGCAGGTGACCATTGGTGACCTTGATGACCTTTGTTCATTGTCACAGTCCTCATTACAGAAAGGGGTCAAATGCCAACAAATCCGTGGATTCAAAGGAGAAAAGCACAATCAAATGGAAAAAGTCTCTGAAGGGGCAAGTGCTGTGACTCCTTAATTCTCATCCTGAATCATTGTGGAAACTCATATTGCTGAAGCTGCTGGAAGGACGAGCACTCTACAAACTAAGTCAACACAAGTGTCAACAGGCTCCCAGAGGACAGTGCGGGAGGGACAGGCCACCCCGGAGAGCTCGGAGTGTGAATAACAGGCCCACCAAGTCCTGGCTGTTCAAAACCTCAAAGGGAAATGGGGTATAGCTGGGATCGCTCCTTTCTTTTTATGGAGGTGAGATTCACCTAACATAAAATTCACCCTTTTAAAGGATACAACTCAGTGCACTTAGTACATTCCCAACATTGTGCAAACACCACTTCCACGTAGTTTCAAAATGTTTCCATCACACCCAAAAGAACCACTGTAACCATCGTTAGTCATTCCCCGTTCCCCTCCCCCTCGCCCCTGGCGGCCACTAATGTGCCATCTCTGTGGGATCTGCCTACCCTGGACTTCTCATGTAAATGGAGTCATACATATGTGTTCTTTTGTGACTGGCTTCTTTCACTCAGCACACTGTTTTCAAGGCTCATCCATGTTATAGCGGATGGCAGCACTACATTCTTTTTCATGGCTGAGTAATATTCCAGTGTGTGAAGATACCACATTTGGTTTATCCACTTACCTGTGGATGGACATTTAGGCTCTTTCTACCTTTTGGGTATTTGTATACCCATGTTCACAGCAGCACTATTCATGTTTACTTGTTTGAGTGCCCCACTTTCACATTTTGAGGGTACAGACCTCAGAATGGAATGGCTGGGTCTTATGGTAGGTAATCTGACGTTTAACTTTTGAAGAACCACTAAACTGCTTTCCATTTTCCATTCCCAGCAGCACAGCACAAGTGTTCCAATTTCACTATATCCTCTCCAGCTTGCTTGTTATTTTTTCCATCTTTTTTTATCACTGCCATCCTAGCAGGGAGCTCCATCTGCCCGGAACAGGAAGATTGCAGCAGAGGGCTCCTTGGAGGGGGACCGTAGCGCACTCACAAAGGCAGGCTAGAAATGAGGGCTTACACACCCCAGTTCAGAGCTGTCACTCATGGGCCATCTGATCTAAATGCTTCCACTCCTCGGGTTTCTCAGCAGCATAAGAGCCAAGACGGAAACCTCAGGCCCTGGGCTTAAGGTCCAGCCTGCACATGGCTTTCCTCATCTCTAACACACAGTGGGCAGCACCAGCTGGCTCCTGGTCCCCTCCAGGGGTACAATCCAAACAGCCATGCCAAGACAGACCCATTCTCTTCCGTCTATCTACTAAGAGCTCCAAGAAGCAACCTGATCATTTAGGACTGGATTAGGAGATGAGCCGTCATCATCGGGGTTTTAAATACCACTGATTCCAGCAGAGAGGAGGGAAGGGTGCAAGGCAAAGGGAGAAGGAGGGCGCTAACATCACAGATCCTGCGGTCAGTTTCCTGCGTCCACATGCTGCGTGCATTGTGGCACATCCTAAGGCCATGCCCAGGGGAAATCACAACAGGAAACACGTCCACGCCCACTGACTAAGGATGAGCAAGAACCCACGTGGTCAAAGCTGCACTTTGAGGTTACTGCCGTGAGGAAGCGTGGGGGTCTTGGTAAGTGTGTGAGGGGGCCTGGGATGGTGTGGGGGCTGCCTTCTTGGGAGCGTTTAAGAAGGGAGGGTTCAGTATGAATTGGCTGTGAGTCAGAGACTGGGTGTCTTAATTTTAAACAAAGATTCAGGAAGAACAGAAAGAGGCTCGAGTTCCTATTAGGGAGGACATTGCACTGTTCATGTTTACCAGGAAAGGGGGCTGGGGTTTATGCAGGGGGCTTGCTCAGCGATCTTATCCTTGTCTGTAGAGCATCTATCCGTGGTAAATCATGACAATATTAGTCAAATGTATTTTTAGATTCATACTCCCCACCACACACACACACACACACACACACACACACACACACACCCAGAAATTCTGATCAATCAAAATCTGTGTTAATTTATCAGGTCATCAGAAAATTTGTCACACAACTCTCCCTGTGTCCTATCTTGCTATTTTGCTGAAATCCTGAAAAAGGTAAACATATGAAAATGCACCCTAGTGAATTCACTTCATTCTTAGATAGGGTCTTCATACCAAATATCACGCTTTTTCACTGCCTCTAGAAAACCTTAACGGTTATGACGTGGGAAGGCCCCGTGACTTACCTAAATGCTGAAGGAGATAAAATCTTCCCAGCACCTGGAAGGGAAAGGTTTTTGAGACGTTAACACAGCTTCACATCAAAGCTGAGCCCTCAGGCCGCGCCCACACCAGGCAGGCTCCCAAGGCCAGCCTCACGGCTGTGTGTGGTCCACTGGGGGCATCAGACGCCTCCCCCTCTAGGCAGCTCCTTTCTGCCCTGGTCTGGCTCGGAGGGCCCTCACTGCCCACCTCGCACGCTTCACCAGCATACTCGGCCCTCAGGTTCTGAGCCCACCCGGCATGGTGGTTTTCCTAGCACTGACGCTGCCTTCACTGCAATGGAGACAGACCCATCCTCGCGCACCCGGCTTGTTCCCCAGCACTCAGGTTCAGGCCTAATTGGTTGGCCAGATTTGAAAGTCACAAAAGAGACTGCCTCACAGCCACCTGCCCAGCACCTAAGCCAACCTGGTGCACGCAGGCATGGGGAAGTGCCGTCCGATGGCTGTGTCACTCCTTGCCGCTCTCAGGTAGACCAATCCATTCTCCCACCATCTTGCGGGCTCCCGTGGGCAAATTCCAGGCGGCTGGTCTGGCCTAGGTCCTGAGAAGGCCCGAGCACCCCACGTTCAGCTCCTAGGGGATTTGCTCCCAGGGGCTCACAGCACTCAGGGACTCTTTGGATCGGTGCCACTCTCTGTACCTCTCACAGCGGGATGGCCTCAGGACGCCTCCTTTCTGTACTCCACAGCCCACCAGACCTAGGCCATGGCAGGGACTCAGCACATGCAAGGAAGCAATTCGCCCCAGCCCGAAGAACACAAGCCCAAAAGCCACCAGCAAGAGCCTACAGCAAGGACAAGATCTCAAGACAACACCACCTCCAACTTTTCCTTATAAAAGATGAAGACATCTAATGTCGCACCTCTGATTCCCAGAATCCTGAGAAAGTTTCCCCCCTGCCCAAAACCAAGGATTTGCTCTCCTACGGGGTACCAGCTTCTTTAAGGGGTTTTTCACCCTCGGCCCTAACGACTGGGGCTAAAAGGCTGCCGACATTAAATGCCATTCCTCAGAAGTCTCCACATGTCCCATGACTGAGAAATCAGTATACTCAGGGCTGTGCCACTAAGGGGCCACACGCCCCCACCGCCTGCAGGACACTTTCTGATATCAGCACACACGTCTATTCCTTTAATAAATAGCTCAGCATCTCCTAGGCCAGGCCCATTAGAGAGAGCAGGTGACACAGAGAGGCGTCAAGCAGGCCTGGACCTGCAGGAGCTTCCTGTCTAACAGGGAGGGACGGACAAGTGCTGCAGGGATCAGTGCGGATCGGTGTGAGAGGGACATAGAAGTCAAGATGTATTCTGGCTGGGACTTCAGGCACCCACAGCGGGGAAGTGGGGTCAGTGCGCACAAAGGTGTGGGGTGAACGCCGAGCTTAGTGAGATGAGGTCTGGTCCAGTGGGGAAGGTACCAGAAGGGGCTACAGAGCAAGAGGGTTCTCATCGGCGCCTCACTTCCAGCACTCCCCGCCTCCTCCTCTGTCCCACTGGAAATCGGTTCCTCCACTGTCATCTAAAAACAAATCAGTAGGGAACAGCCTGGCAGACTTCCCAGCGCCCAGACACTGTGAGAACGGGACAAGCTGGGCGCGCAGCCACGTTGGGCAGAAAAGCACTGGGGAGGTGCGGACCATCAGCATGGGGATGGGTACCGGGCGGGCCCAGAAGACACCAGGAAAGGCCCAGAGGCTACCCCAGTTTTTCCAGGAGGAGGGAGAAGGGTGTGCAGTAGCCTCAAGTAGGAGCTTCAGGCCTGTGGGGAGAGGAGCCACCTCCAAAAACAGACCCCTACCCATGCCCCACCACTCTCAGTCTGCAGGGCACTGGGGAAGGGACGCATCTCGAAACAGCTCCAAGGACAACAACCCCACTTCCTTTTAAAGGGCCTCTTCAAGGCCCAATGAAGTAACAGCAATGCTACAAAGTGTTCTCTGGTTCATCCATCCCAGCCTTGACTGCTTTAACCATGCCAGAAGTCTCTTTAATCAATTTTGGAAAGGACATGAAGGCCTTCAATGCATCCTTGCTTCTCCCAAAATGCAATTTCCTGTTTTCTTTCAATCCCCAGCAATGGCTTTCTCATGGGACTGTCCCAGGTGCACCGGGCCATGCGGGACAGACTTTTTCCTGGCAAGTTGTGCATACAACCACCTTCTGCTGGCCTGAGTCTTCTGCAGGCTACTTATATCAAGTACTCTTTCAGGAGGACACGCCTCCACATTACTCTAAGACTGCTCACACCAGTAGTTCTCCACTGGGGGCAATTTTGTCCTCCAGGGGACATTTGGCAATGATTTTTGGTTGTCGCAACTGCAGAGGAGGTCACTGCTGGCTGGCATCTGGTGAGTAGAAACTAGGGGTGCTGCTAAATATCCTACAATGCACAGGAGACTACCGCACCAAAACAACTGCTTGGCCTCAAATGTCAGTAGGGCACAGGGTAAGCAACACTGACTTCCAAGGATGTGGGGCCTCGGGGCAGAGTGGGAGAGTCCACGCTAAACTGCACTGCATCATATTCAGAACACTCGCCTCTCAGCACTGGGGCCCCAGGCGCTGAAGTTATGGTGTAAACAGAGATGGGCAGATCTGAGTTCAGGTTCTGCCTCTTCTTGGACTGGGGGCAAGTTACTAAGCCTTTTCGAACTTTATTAAAATGGTGAAGTGTCACTAACCCTGTAAGGAGGTGAAAGGATTAAATGAGGTAATGACAGAGGGCATTTAATCCTGCTTTTTGGAATCAGAGAGACAGAGATGAGCCCGCAACAAAGAAAGGCTGAGTTCTTGCCTTGGAATGACAGCAACAGCCCAGCTTGGAAGGAACAAACTCCCTCAGTGCTGGGGGTGGGCGGACGGGCAGGGGGTGGGGGTGCTGCGGGGAGCCAGGAGCCCTTTTTTGCCAAATAGGCACGATAGGATATTCAGTGAACTCTTGCCAGAGCCTCTCCAACTGGCTCCTGTTTGGGGGTGCTCTCTGCCCTGGCTTGTCAATGGCTAACTCCCAGCCTCCAAGGGCCCACTGTCCTGAGTGGTGACTGGCCCTCAGTACCCCCTTTCTGCAACGAGTTCAACTGCCTCATCTGAACAGAAGTATTCCAAGCCCTAAGGTCAGCTGGAGCCTGAGCCAGCCTTCAGGCAGCAGTGTCCCTGCTGGCGGGAAGGTGACCTGTCCTGGCTAAGGCTGGCTTCCTGCCTCCAGATAGCCCCGCTGACTCATCTGCAGAGGTGTGAGCCTCGGAGGACTTTCTTTCTCTCTCCCTCTGTCCTGCATTTAGTGATCAGACTCAACTAACCTGGGGAAGAACTGGTTGTGATCAGAATACAAGACGGAAGGTCCCCCCTCCTCCTTCCTCCTCCCTCCTCCCACCCTACACACAGTCCACCATAAATCCCCTGACTCCTCCTCCCCCAGAAACTCCCGTCCCTCCCTCGTCTATACCAGTTTTATTGGTCTCTCTTCCCCGCTGCCAAGCAGCTGGCCTCAACCCTGGGGATGCACCTGCTGGGACCCTATTATCTCCAGCACACGAAACGCTAAAGGTGCAGGGTGATTTTTGCTCTGACTGACCACACGTAAAGATCCTCCATTTCTTGAAGCTGTCCCGCCATCGCCTCCAACCAACCCTCACCGAGGGTCGGGAGAGAGAGGTAGCCAGGGAGGTTCAGGGCTTTGGACTCCGGGCACCTTCGCTCCCAGGACCAGGGCCATTGCCCCGGATCCCTGCCCCTGATCCCTACCCCTGCCTCCAGGCCACCTCTGCGCCCCCCTACTCCTGTCATCACTGAACTGGACTCACCTTTCCAGCTTCACCAACTGGATTCGCTTTCCGGTTGGGCTGTCCGAAGGATTTTCCCCTGAAGCGGCCAGCCCCGTTACCAGGCGACAGTGCTGACTGGCGTCTGTGTGCCGCAATCGCAGAAGTGGCGGCTGATGGGGTGGAGTCCTGTAAAGGAGTCAGCCAATGGCAATTCACCTCATGGGGCCTTGGCGGGTAAGGGCGGGGCCCTGGACTGGGCGGGGCCAGACTTGTAGGTGGGACGAACCGGCTGCTGCACGCAAGCTGCTGCACGGAGGCAGCTGCACGCAGGAAGCTGTGGGTGGGAGGGGAGGGATTAATGCTGGTACAGTTGGAGTAGGAACTGGCAAAGGGGCTGAGGACGGGTCTGGGAAAGTGAGCTGGTGACTCAGGGGAGAAGCCAGGGAGGTCGGCCTGAGGAGGGACCAGTTGTCTGGGCTGAAGTATGAAACAGGAGCTGGACTGTGGCTGGGAAGGGGTGTGGCTGGGGAGAGGTGTGGCTGGGAATGAGGGTGTAGATGGGAAACCGGCTGCGTGTTGGGGTTGAAGATAAACCGGAGGAGGGAAGTGGGCTCGAATGGACACAGGCTCCCATGGATTAAGACCCAGGCAATTCTCCTCTGATGCCCCTCACTCCTCACCACTTGTTCTCAGGCAGGAGCACCCTCCCACCATGAAGAAAGTACAGCCTCCTAACGAGGGCTTGGGCCCCTGTCCTGTGGCCTGTGCTCCGAAGCACACCCTTTATCTCCCCCTGGTAACCAAGTCCTTTCTTCCCCATCAGTCCTTTCTAGTAGCCTTTAAATGCGCTTTAGTTTCTCCAATCTTGTTAAATAAACTTCCCTTGTTTAGTACCTTCCCTTCTCCAGCTAATACCCATCCAGCCTTCACTCCAAAATGTCTCAAGACTATAGTCCCCATTTCTTCACCTTCCATTCAGTCCCCAAACCACTGAAACCTGGCCTTGGGGGCCCTGTCACTCAATCCGAAGGGTACTGTCTCTCCTGACATGCAGTGGTTCCCAGTCGTCATTCCTGCTTCCCTATTAAAGCTCTCCTTCCTGGGCCTCTAGGAGGGTCCTGGCTTTCCTCCTCCTCTCTCCCCTTAGTTTTCACTTAGTCTTTCCTGGCTTCTGCTCTTGTATCTCCTCATGCTGCCTGCCCCCTCCAGCCATCTCCTCTTCTCACC